TTGAACATTTGTTTATATCTACAATAAATAAATTCTTTATGAGCTGACATTAAATTCTGGATCTTTTTCCGTTTTTTTTTTATAGAATCAAGATTTCCTTTGAAAGTTATATTCTCAGACAAAAAAGAAAAAGAGTAACACATTTAAGTTTGACCTAAAGAATAGTATAGTATGATTTGGCCCTCTTTCTAAAAAAAAACTTCAAATTTTGTTTTTGGTAGTCCGGTACATCACTGAAAAAGTAGCCTCGGAAAGGTGCTTTTTCGTTTTATACATATTTGTGAGGAGAACCCCCGGTTTGAGTAGAATTCTGGGACACTTTCCTAAAAACATTTTGTGAAGATACTATTTTCATCTCCATGGGCAGCGGAACATATTTAGATTTGGAAGGGAGGGAGGGAGCCACCGACGATTGTTAACTGTGATCATTGAATTACAAACCAAAACAGCAACTTTCCATCTTAGTTATAGACAATTCTCTATTCGTCATTCAAAATTGGGGCCATATGCCCCCCCCCCTCCCGGGTTCCACCGCTTATTTTTACCTCCATAAAGACATGTAACGAACAAGTTATGTGTTAAAAACGTGACATGGAAGTTTCTGTGTTTTCTGCTAGGTTCGTCCAAACCTCGGAAGCGCTTTGTTCAACTTGGCGCTGCTTCTGTCAGAAGAAAGTAGACCATTGGAAGCCTTTGTATACCTCAAAAGGCTACTAAAGGTACACACTTAAGACTATACAATGCGTGTTACTTAACACACATTCTAATTAACAAGTTATATATATAAATGTATTTCATCCTTCAGTAATAAGTTTAACTACAAACTATAATGCATCAAATATCTATCTTAGACACCTTTAAAATAATCACAGCTTATAAATGACTTTCTTCATTGGTTTATAGCATCAGTACATTACTTGTAACAAAATATGAGGCTTAATTACTTCAAATTAAAGATGGTGATAATTAGAGAGATTATTAGAAATAAGTAACCAGAATTTTGTTGAAAAAAACATCATTACTTAGTTATAATTACGCAATTTATGAAGTTTGTCAAGTAATATAATAAAGAAGTAAATGGATTTATATTTACTGCTGTTTTTACTATTTTTATTATTATTACTTTTTAGATTAACTTCCGATCAGAGCAAACTATCTATTTAGATCAAAACTGTAAATCAACCCATTGATGAGTAGATATAACTGAATATACTTTTCTTACGTTCTCACTTATAAAGATTACAATGAATTGTTTCATCAGTTGAGTACCCTCGCTATTAACGACATTTTCGGCCATAAACCCAATAATATCTCACGAGTTTTGGTCATCTTAGGAGATTTAGGTTATTTCTAAATCCATATACTAACCTAACAGTGCAAAATGATATCTATAATAAAATATATAAGATTGTAAAACTAGATATATATTGAATATTCTAACTTCAAATGAAAGTTCGGTTTATATTTTTGTAAAATAATATTGGGATTTCTCATATGTTGTTTAAAGAAACAACCCTTAGTAGATCATTTATTTACAGTATGCAAGTCGTAGTTACTGGTACGATATTCTATCTCATTATACAAAATAATAACTATTTGCACAAACTCCTTAAATACATATTTGATAGAAGTACATTTCAAGACGTTTCGTAAGAGGACGTGTAGCGATACAATACGAGGAGTTATTGTAAAAATTCCAATGAAGCCATGAAAAACAAAAGCCCGAGTATCAGAACTGTTCCGAAGACTTGCAAGTTATTTACCTTGTGTAGAAAGTCAAATAACTATAAATTTATGAACTTGTTGCTGGTGATATAAATGATTTTAACATCATATTTACTCATTATATCATCGTAACTATGGTTATTACTCTTTTCCAAGGGAATTATAATACTGTGAGATAATTTTAACTTCTGTTTTCTACCACGTAAGCTCTCTCACTCATTCTCTCAGTAAATATATATTGTTTTCCTCACATCTGACAGAGCCAACCAGATCACGTTAAGGGATTGATCCTTATGGGAGACATCTACATCAGCCACTTTCGAGACCTTGAAGCTGCAGAGGAGGTACTTTAAACTTTCTTAATCATCGGATCAATATAAACCTAAACTGTGGCTCAAGATTTATTTTCTTTCGTAGTCGCCATGGAAACCTGATAGAGTTGTTTCTTTTTCTTATCCATCTTCTTTGTTACGCCTCTACGAGGAGATTAGCCTCATATCTATTTGTTTTTTGTTGTGTTTTTTTATTTTTTGTAATAAAAAGTACTAAATAAACCGGCGAGAAAATTAACTTCTAGCTATCAGAACATGCAACAACCTTTTTTTTTTTTCTCTCACAAAAATTTTAACTTTATTTTGTTTGGTTAACAACCTGATCTCGCCTTTAGGTGACAAGCGCCATCTTTGAAAAGATTTTGATTTAGATAAACATCTCTTTCCGCTGATACTTCTTTGTTTAGTATAACGTATGACTTGTTTTATTTTTATCGTTCTACCAGTCATCTTCTCTCCTGTCTTTCTGTATTTGCAGTGCTACATTAAAATTCTCCAATATGATCCCGACAATATTCAAGGCTTACACAACCTTTGTGTGGTATACTACCAACGTCAGCAACTGGTAGAAGCCGAGGCTTGTTTTCAAAAGGCCCTCACACAAAGTCCAAACACGGAGTATATTCGTCAACACCTAGAGGTAACCAGACGTCAGCTCCAGCAGGTGGCGGCACAGGTTAAAGAAAATGATCCTTTAGACAACATGAACGTACCCCGCGATCCAGCTGTTCTTCAACAAATCTCTTCGTCACCAACGATCAGGTGATTGCAAGTTTAAAAAAAAATGTCCTCAGACCATTGTCCAAAAACACGTTAAAGTGTTAGAAGCATCTATTGTCGATACATGCATTGGTTCTTGGAGAGATGAGATGGTCACGTTTACTCCTCATCTTATCTCGTAATCGTTACCTTTGAATGGCATTAATCAAGTGCTAGAGCTAATAAACCTACGAACACTGTTTTCCACCATCTTTCAAGTGCTAGGCCTAAGAAGACTATGAATACACTCGTTGCAGGCCTATTGTATTCAAAACCCAAATAATGGGACAGAAAAGTATTTAGTAATGTGCCAATGTTATATGTTTAATACAAGCTTTTAAGCTTTGCATATTTGTAATGTTATTATTGGATAACTTGTCATAAAGTATTGCTCAGTGTTGGAAATGGCCTTGTTATGTGAACAGGCCATGTTTCTGTAAAACAAAGATATTTCCATCAGACGATTAGGAACTGTGATACTCTTTTTTTTTCTTCTTTTTTACTCTCTGTCGGAGACATGTTATTAATGAATGAGTTTTTATGTCAATCTATTCGCATAGTTATAATTTTTATTAAATATATTTAATACCTGTACATCACGACTTTAATGCGAGCTAAAATTTAATTTAATACATTAATTGTGTAAAACTTCTCTTTTACTTTGCTAAATTTAGGGGAAAGCATAAAAACCTGGAAAATTGCGATATGACCTGAAAATGAGTCAAATTTTTAAAGGCATAAATCTACTTAATTAGCACAATTCCGGTGAATTAACGACGAACCCTAAAATGGTAAAAATATGTTTTTAGTTTATCATAAAACAGCAGAGACATGTCGTAAAATTGGCGTTTCTGGCCATTTAGAAATTGGTAAAAACTGTAACGCCAGAAAGTTCCAGATTATCAGAAAAAATACACACATGCACACAGTTCATTGTGTTACAACAAATGGCTGATGAGGTATTCACATTTTATGAACGTGCGTAACATTCAAAATGCACAAAACGGCTCTCAACCTACTTGTAAAATTGATTTTTTTTATTTTTTACAATTATATGGCCAGGCGGTTATGGTGCTCGACTCGCAATCTGTGGGTCGCGGGTTCGAATCCCCGTCACACCAAATATGCTCGCCCTTTCAGCCGTGTGACGGTCAATTCCACTATTCGTTGGTAAAAGAGTAGCCCAAGAGATGAGTGGTGACACCCTCCCTTTTGTTTTTCACTGCTAAATTAGGGACGGCTGGGGCAGATAGCCCTCGTCTAGCTTTGCGCGAAATCCATAACAAACAAACAATTTACAATTATTATCAGGCTAATTACACCCGTGTGTGAATCTCTGAGCGACATGCTACCACAACACGAGTAGGGTGGATAGTCACCAGCGTTACCAAGTCTGATTCTATATAATAAGCGGAATAGGGTTTGCTTAAGTCTCTATGTTTATGAGAATCGTGGGTTGGTATTATCCTGAGGTTTCCTGTTTGGACTTTTGTTTTTGTAATAACTGACTTCAACACACACACAGTAAACTGGCTGTAGGAGTGGTTTCGGTAATAGAATGGGTCAGTGAATAGCCTACACATCAGTAACAGCTTTAGAATCATCCTATCACCACTGTTGTTCAATTAAAAACGCGCTCACAATCGTAACTTTTCTGGCACACCCACTTGAATCATTCTATGTTTCAATTAAGCAGCACAAATCGGTACTTTAAGGATAAGCCATATAGTAGCAGTTTTGAAAGTCAGTCCCCCCCCCCCCCCCTCCCACATCAAATTCCTCGGCACTCTTGGATTTTCTTATCCCAGCCATGGCGTAAGATTTATAGATCTCAACCACTGTTCATAGGGCGTTTATCGAAATACGCTTTGTCCAATGCTGTCGTCTCGCTTCTTTTCATCACTGTCGTCATCAGCCTTGGTCTTCTCTCTGCTTTTTTGGACTCCCGGACATCTGCCAAATCTCCACACCAACCAATTAGCAGATATGAATTAACTCCGAAATTTTAACCCCACGATCTTAGCAAAATTTTCTTTCTCGCGAGCGGGGCGAAGGGGGATATTAATATCCCTGAACGCTCCAGTTTAGGAAAGTTCATCTTTCCTTCAAAAACTAAATACCTGCCACGGTTTTCTCGTGTTTTTTGTGTGCGTTTTTTTCAGTACTGCTTGTTGTTCTTGCGAGACTTAGCAACACTGAATTAGTCACTGCAATCCAGCTGTTAGAAAGCGACAGTTTAATACATCAAAGCTAACAAAACGTCTTATCTTTCTTGATATCTTGATGAATAGAAATACTTCAAATACAGTTTGATTTCTAGTTTGATCTTCGAATTACCTACTTTGCTAACCATAAGGTCCACGTGTTGCATCATAATAAATAATGTTTTGTTTTGCATATTGTAACACTTAGAACTGACAAAATAAAAATAAAAAGTAGATAAACTCACTTAGTTCTAGTTGAGGTGTATAGAGGGCCCCAGCTGTCATTCGCTATATTGATAATATTTTTGTTTACATTTGTTTATGTGACTCGTAAGTTAGTAGGAACTCTATCACTAAGAAAATCATAGACCCACAAGTTATTCGATGCATGAACGTGTCATTAAAAACGTGTTTAAAAGGCCGATAGCGGGTCTAGACCCCCTTCAGTAACACTATAAGGTTTAACCATTATTTTGAATAATATTAGTGCGTAGCTTGTGCGACAACTTTTTCTCTCTCAAACCAAAATTTCATCTTCAGCTCCCTCACTTAAGCTTGTTCCGTTGGTTTAGGTTTCCATTCTCAATAGTACGAGCTTAAGTTATAGAAAACATTTATACGAACAAGATTTTTTATGTGAAGTGGGAAAATGAACTTGCAATGAGATAGAATCTGAAACATGTAATATATCAGCCGTGATCCAACTTCAATTCATGGTATGTTAGAAATTATGTCCCGGTGAGACAACGGTAAGTTTACTGTCTTATAACGCTAAAATTCAGAGCTCGATTCCCCGCGGTAGAGTGGCCCGGCATGGCCAGGTGGTTAGAGAGCTCGACTCGCAATCTGCGTGTCGCGGGTTCGAATCCCCGTCCCACCAAACATGCTCGCCCTTTCAGCCGTGGGGGCGTTATAACGTGACGGGTCAATCCCACTATTCGTTGGTAAAAGAGTAGCCCAAATATTGGCGGTGGGTGGTGATGCCTAGCTGCCTTCCC